TAGGCCCTTGTTTTTTAGTTAATTAAAATAACTGAGAAATTGGTCATACATATTAGGTTTAATCAGCTTTACGTTATTTTGTTATTAAAAAGTATTAGGTTTTGGGAATTTTTTTCTGCTTAGTCGTATTAATCAGTGATTGTATGTTTTGTATTGGAAATCATTTAATTTCAGTTTTGTATTTAATGAATTTTTCTGTTGTTTTAATGAAACATGGGGTTGCAGCTGTTTGTAAACAGCAATTGTTTTTATTTTACACTAATGATTGATCCTTGATTATTGGAGATTAGCAGGATGATAATGTGATCATCCTTGCGTTTTACTTACATTTAGTTTTGTTATACCATTTATATATATTTTTATTTAAATATTGTTTGCACTCATTAATTGTGCATTGTAATATTATTATGTATTCAGGAAAAGTTTAAGTAATACACAGCCTAAACACAAATACACCGTAACCATCTTTGACATTTATTATTCTGCTAATGGTTAATTCACTTCAGCTTAATTGAAATATAAATGTTTATAGATTAAAAAAAAAAGTTTAAATATTGTTCTTTATTTATTAATTTTAGGTTTTATCAAATTATAATATTTATAGTTTTTATCACACAATATATTTTTTTTGTTTTGGATTTGAAATCTTTTCTTTTATAAACAGTTTCAATGTAATTTATGGAAACATTAATTTTGTACCTTTTATTGCTTATGCTTCTTTTATTTGAAGGATTAAAGTGGTTTATGAAAGCCCTCCTATTGAGTTATTTTTTTAAATATATATATTTATAATTTAGTTGATATATATATATATATATATATATATATATTCTTTTGTCTGCAATAGTTTTTTTTTTCTTGTGAATAATCATAGTTATTTAATTTATATTATTTGCAATGCATATCTTTTATAAAATTTGCTTATAATATTTTTGATTATGTCTGCAATCATATATAAATATTTATGTTTCATTTTCTTAGTTAGTTAAAAAAAAAGTTGAATGATTTATCAAATTTCTGTATTAATTTAATATATTGTCTGCTCTCTAAGCATGTTTTAAAAGGATGATAACTTTTATATATATATTTTTTTTCATAATCATAATGATCCCTTTCTTCATAATTTTTTTTTCCCCTAAGTAGAATTTTTACTTCTTTTTATTTATGACCTCTTTTCTAGGAAAACTAAAACAAAATTTCTGACATGATTGATTTTTTAAAAAAGTTTATTGCTTTTTCTGTTTATGCTTATATTAATAATAAATTAAATTTAGATATGTCATTTTTTTTTTTAATATAATTCTTACCCCATATCATTGGTTTTTATTTTATTGCAATTATCATTCCATTTCATATGATTTGATGTTAAAATTTGTTTATTCACATTTTTTTTTTTTTTTTTTGAAAATATGTTTTTCAAGCCTTCCTATTAGTTATGATTAATAATTGACATAGCCTCATTCAGTTTCCAAGCTAATGAATGTTGAACCCATTTTAACAGGATATAGGAATGGTCAGACTATGAGTTTCACTGTTTCAAAATTTAAAAGTATTGATCAACAAAGTAATAACAATTGTTATTTAATATTCCTTTGAATCCTAAGTTGACAAATCGATCTTTTTATTTTTTTTAATATTTTTTTTGTGTGTAATATTTGCTTTACGTTATTATCAGACCTACTCTATATACATGATTACTAGCACTGTATTCAAAATTTGTAAAACATGGAAGAGTGTATAATTCCGAGTCGGAGGAACTCTCTTGGTCGAAATCAGGCGATTTATATTCAGTAATAGTCTTCGATGATGTTGAGGGTCATCACCCTGGTAATTGTTTTTCCAGAAGTAGGATCACGGCTTCTTCCCTCCAATAAATGTTTGTCTTGTATTAACTTCTATAAGTTTTGAATTTGCTGGTGAATTTTCCCGTTTATTGCATTCGTAAACTAGCGTAGTTTTATTACCTCGTTCATAATCCATTGATTACAATTTATCATTACAAATTTTCATCATAAGTTGAATTATTTTGTGACATTTCAGATGAAAGATATTTCTTTTTTATTATAATTTCTTTTCGTTATATTGCAATAACAAAATCTATTATAGATATGTACAAATTAAGAAATAGTGGAGAATTGTACTTTTAATACAAGTGAAGGCATTGGAATCTTGAAAATGTTTTTGGTTTTGAAAAAAGAAAATGAAAAGTTTATAAGACTTTATTACATTATAATTACTAAGAAACTTGGAAATCATACAGTTTTACCTTGAATCCGATTCATGGTCAACTATATAAAATCATACTTGGAATTAGTAAAATTATTATGTACGATTTTTTCATTGTTTTGTTTAGACAGAATGAATTCCAGAATATATAATAACTACTCATTTCATTATTTAACAAATTTTGTTTTGTTCAAAATTTTCTATAAGGGCCTACTTCCCACTAAGGCTTGTCTCGCGGGGAGTTAGACCATTGCCCTCTTAATTAGGAGAGGCCTACAGATTGTAAAATACTTGCTATAGTAGGCTAGAGAAAAAAAAGTATAAACAGGTTCGTCATAATACTGATACAGGTTTTAGTGCATCGATTGACTTTAATTTGAAGAACTAATAAAAATTAAAATGATTTAATCTGTCAAAAAATTATTGAAAATTGAATAAGCTCGATACTATTGTAAGTAGAAATAGTTGTCGAGAGCAAATGAAAAAACGTAGATATAATATTTTGAATACTAGTGGTCTTTCGGCCTGGTGTCATAATTCATATAACTACCCACGCACTCCTCCGTTGTTTCTTCGTCTTTGTATTTGCTATTTCCTCTCATTCACATAACAAAAGTAAAACTTCAACAAATTATTTTTATATTTTTTGAATTTATTTTATTGTATAACGTCATTTTGGGATGTGAGAAGGAATTGGTATATATATATATATAGGAAAAAAAAGACCTATCGGGCTGAAGCCCTCCCTCAAAAATTAAATCCTAGTGCTACTGACATTTTATTAAAATTACTAAACCAAATTGTAATAAAATCGTAATCTCGAATTAACTTCTAATGTGATCGGTTTGCTGAGGATCAATCAATTAAAGTTCATTTCCTTGTTCAAGAATACTTGATGGAACGAATCCGGGACTTTCGATATTATCGTTTCGAACCTCCGGGTCGTCATACCTGTTCTTGCTTTATTTTAAAAAAAAATATATGAAAATTTAATTTTCCAAAACACAAAATCAATTCTGCCATACTTGTGTAATAATTATCATCTTAAACATTTAGTGCATATTTTAATAAATTTTCTATCACTTAGATTGTATTGGTTGTATCATGAACGAACTATGAGGTTTTCATCAAATCTATTTCACCAATTAAGTTAAATTACATTTAAAATTTTATTATTTGTTGTTCCATTTCTGCTCCGCATACTTCTCCTTGGTTATAGGAAAGGAGAAATAATTATTCACTTTGAAAACAAATCATATAATTATACTAAACTATTTTTGTTATTTTTTTTATTGATGTTTTTATAATTTCTGAAATCATTCGAAATATTTATTACATACACTTATATACATTAATCTTGTAGAGATTTTTTAAAATAATATTTCACCAATTAATTGAAATCTTGGACTTTGTTTTATGTGACACAGGTTTAAAAATTAAAATTTATTTTATTTTATTTATTTTATTTTATGCAATTTGCACCTGCGCAGCTGCGCATCTAGCAAATTTGTTGTATTTTTATTGTCTTGGTGTAATTGCTTGATTTCTTTTTTTTTTATTGATGTAGTAGGTCTCTTGGCCATTTTCTTCTTAATCTTCGTTGCTCAGGTAACGAAATTATAAAAAATTAAAATTAAATCAGATTAACTGTGTTATGTTTCTTGAGTTTTAAGAGTACATCTGTATTGGATTTTTGAGTATAAATTACTAGTCTTAATGAAGAGAAGAATAGTTGGGGTGCTCAGTCAAAAAAGGAAGGCAAAAATAAATTATAATATTTATTTTTTACATTGCCGACGTTTCGACCTGAAGTTCAGGCCATCATCAGGGCTTTCTCCTAAAATGTCAAAGTGAGAATGATATTATTATATTATATTATAGAGCCAATGTTTTTATTTATAAATTATTAGATAGATATTTATTTACTAGTCTTAAGTTGGATTATAGATTTATGGGCTACGAATTCGAAATAATAAATCTCAATTTTGTCTTTCTCGAAATCCTTAGTTTGATATTTGTCTCGTTATAAAAAATCCAGCTGTCATTCCTGAATGCTGAATTTGTTCTGGTAAAGGATTTCTGACTTTTATTATCTTTCTTATCTTTGCTTCAACTATAATTTATCAGTTACTTTAGCGTATCCATGATGTTCTTTCGTTTTTAAATTACATGATTTAATTACACATTAAATGAAAAAAATATATGGAATATATTTATATGACGTTTCATTAGTTATAGTTGTTTGACTGTTGGTAAAATTATTATCATTATATGTTATGATAATATGTTAAATATAATATTATATACCCTGATGTATGTAAACAGTGAAAATTAAATTGATTTGATTTTTTCGTATAGTTCAGATGGGAAGTGTTCAGAAGTGGAAGTCTAGTTGGCGAGACTTGCCCACAACTTCCGGGCTCATGTTCCACTCCGCTTGTATACATTTATTTTGTATTCTTTAAGCCACCGATGAAGTAATGGGAAAAACCTGGAGATTGAGCTTGCTACTAACCTTACCATCTCCAATCTTACTCAAGAGCGGTTCTTGTTCATTGATTAGTATCAAATCTATTTTTTCCTAAGAACATTTCCCGTACAAATCTTAGTTGGATTAAGTTCCCATTTAACGTTATCTTATTATATCCTGTTATTGAGTAGGCGTTGCGTTATCGGTTTGAAAGTGCATCTAACCGGTGTCGAAAGTCATTCTTATTAGATGAGTTTCCTCCCGAAGCCCTATCAGTCGAAGTTGAGTAATCTTATTAGGGTCCATGGACCGACTTCTCGTTCAGGCTTCTTCAACACGTAACAAGATATTTTCAGAGCGTTTTTTACCTTGTATTTTATGGCAGCTGTACAATGTTCTAAATGGCAAAGGTTTAAGTAACCTAGCACTGGGATGCCTTATAAGTGTTAATACCGCAATATACGAGTGTACGGTTAAGACAGTTTTCTCTTTAAATTCTATTTTTACTTCTCAAGAATTTAAGATGGAAAAAAGAATCTAGCAAAATGATTTTTAATAGTTGTTCCACTATCATCTATGCTATTTCTTAGGAGCTGTTGTCTATTATTGAACTATTTTCGACGATACTCAAAAGGCATTTAGCCTAGGTTTAGTCACGAGAAATCAAAATTCTAATAAATTATCGGCGCGTTTCTCATGCAGGAATTTCTAGAACTTTTTTTTTCTATAGTTTGATTTGTTTTAACTTGTCTAATTCCGTATAGGTGTAAAGTTGGTATTGGGGTATAATTTATAGTGATTGGGCCATCTTTACTTCAAAATATATTTTTAAAACACTAAAATTGTTATTTTCGTTTTAGTTTTTATTTATGTACTGTAGAAGACTCATTTATTTCTTTCTTTTATTTTTTAGTGTCTAAGAATTTTTCTTATTATGTTAAAGAGAAGCTTTTCTTAAAAAATTACATTTCTTAAAAAATAATATATATTAAATTAAAAACGTATAACATTCTTATAAGCCATCAGTTGTTGTAAATTATAGAATTTAAAATTTTATATATTGTGCCAATTATGAACTTGTAGTATAGGATGAAATGATTATTGATCTTCTCATTACTTTTTGCATATCGGTCGAATTCAATTACATTAAGTGAAATAAAGATTTAAATGTTAATTTTAAAATTAAGGATGACTGGTTCAGATTGGAACCCACAGTGTATTATTTATGTAATTTTAGTTGCTGAAGAGGGAAGCGAAGATATCTTGAAACGTACTAATTAATAAAGAATAATCAAACTGAAAGTGGTTATGGTATAAGTAATAATCAAACCTTATTTTAATGAATTAGACATAGGCAAAATGTAGTGTGAAGATAATTAATGAAATAAAAATGCACATCATCCTATGTAAATTTAGTAAGGATCCAAACAAAATACAATTATCAATTAACTCAACTAAAGGGGACATCATTGTTAAACCAAACTATTTATATTATTTCTCTTGATACCGATTGCAGATGGTAAATATAAAAACAAGAAACAAAAATATTAGCATAGTGAAATAACCATTTGCATATTTGTTTGTCCTATAGTTTGTGAAATGTTTGAACGCACCTTTAAAGATTTTTAAGCGGAATCTGTTATTTTAACAGAACGGTTGGGGCGGTCTTGTTAAATGAATTCTGGACGGGCTATCATACTCTTAGTGCCGCCATCTCCTTAGCGACAACCGGTTCAGGCTTTGTCAGTACAATCTTCTGTCTCATGGCTCTTGTTTACAATCTCATATTTTTTGTCTTTACAGAATATCATTTGCTCGATCGGTGAAGGGCAAGATGAAGTAATTTTAAAAAAATAAATCGTTCAGTTGATCAGCTATCTGATTTGTAGGATGTCAAACCTAATATATTTTATTTTTGTTTTTTATTTTTAATTTATATTTGAGGTACTAACTTATCATGAGGTGATAAATTTCTCTCGAAAACAATTAAATCAAATATATTATTTGACTGCTTTTGGAATGTTTTAAATTGTATTTTGTATATTTCAATATTCTGACGACTCTATACTCTATAAATATCTCAAATTAAATTAACTTCTGCTGTTTATATGTAGAATTGAATACTTAAATTTTATTTGAGAAAAAAAATCCGATTGTAGTTTATAAGTTAACATATTTTTTTTTTTTTACACGCGATCGATTTCTTTTTTATATTTAGGCCATTTTTATTTATTTTTTTGTTTAATTTCAATCTGGAAGAAACGAAAAGTTTTTCTACTAAATCTGGATTAAAATGAAATCCTCCACTCAAAAATGACTTGAACCTGCCTATAATGATTTTTTTTTCTCGTTTATTATGGTTTGTCATTTTATATTTTATCGTTTTCAGTAAGAGGGATTAAATAAAAAGCCTTGCGAATTTTGAAAGTACATGAGTCATTTTAGAAATACTTTTCAACAGAATCGTGGTCCTTAGACGTGTATGTAGTCATATGTGTTAAGCCAGGCTTTTGAGTTAACTAAAAACTTGACCCACGTTTGTGTTTATTGACGAGATCATATACATTGGAACAAAACAAAATATTACCATCAGCTCCTTTAGAAAATACTGTTTGTTCAACTGAAATGGAACGTAGAAATGGTATAACAGTTTTATTATCAACTATTACAGGATGGGTTACTCTGGAGAAACGATGTTTTACTGCAAGTAGCAGCGTTTATCTCGTACAGCCTTCTGCGTTTGAAAGCGCTGGCAAGTTCATATCAGGTGATGAAGTTTCGGTAGGCCTTTTGTCTGCTCTTGACATCTCGTCGACAGTCCGTCCTTGTGAATTTGTTGGTACAACTCAAGTAGCTGGAGAAACTTGGACGTTTAGTTGTAAGTTGTCCTAGGAGTGCAACGAGTATGCTTGCGAAAAGCGAATATCAATTCGAAAAGAAATGTGGCTTCAAGTATCTAGAATGATATATTTATTCTATACAAAGATTATTTATAGAAGGTCAAAAAATTTACGAAAAAAAAAATTGAAAATAAATCAACGCAATATACACGACAGAATATTAAGTGGTTGCAACTCTTGCTTGAGAAAACTAAGCATTTAATGTTGCCTAGAGGAATGAAAATATATACGAGGACCTAGAAAAAATATGGAAATTGACAAAAGTCTTTTTTTGAAATGAAAAATTCAAGTTGGTAGATTAATGAGAAATGCATCTTTAGCTGAATTTTATAAATCGCTTAAATTTAATCGTAATGTGAAACTGTCTCGCTCTAATGAATTCGTACTATGAAAAAAATCAAAATAGAAATGTTGATATTATAATCATTCGAAAACTAATAATTATTAGCTGTTTTGAAAAAAAACAAAAACTATAAGTAACAACAAAGCTCTGTAGAGGACTTTGTCTTTTAGCTCTTATGTTATGATGTTGGGGCCCATGAGTGGTTGATCTAAAAAATTCATTGCAGGGGACCCACACTGACTGCATTAGTGACACGTGATCTACACGTGTAACGTTTCCTTGGTTCTTCAGGATTTTCAATCCTCATCACAAAATCTAAACAATTATATTCTACGCGAGACTGATGGAACTTTACCTGTTTTACCTGAAGACACGACCTACAGGCAAATATTGTTTATTGAAAACTTATTAAATATTGTTTAATGACAAAGTTGCTTACGCTTGTTTTACAGTAGCATCCACATTCATGCACGGGCGGATCTATAGGGGAGAGGAGGGGAACTTTCGGGCTGAAGCCTCCCCCCAAAATGATAAAATATAACCATGTTTTATCGAAAAAAATATTTAAAAAGTATCTCTTAAAGTATTATTGTTCGTATGATTAATACTAAAAGGGCTTTAGGAATCACTTAAACACCATTTCATACATGTAGTTAGTTTCTTTCTTTTTTTCCAAGGTAATTATCGTTATTTTTATAAATAAAAAGGTTTCGGGCTGAAGCCTCCTCCAAAATTAAATCCTGGATCCGCTAGTGCTATAACCTCCTGATTTCCATTGTTTGTACTAGGTTATATTTCGGTGGTAATGATCCACGTTAATTTTCTCTCCCCCTGCTTTAACGCTTCTCAAATACAGTTACATAGTTCATACGTAGTACTTAATTGTTGTTTCATTGAGTCGCCATTAATGGTTACTTGCTAGTTGTCATTAATATGTTCTGATTAATGGCTTAACATTTACGATAAACAATTATAGTTCAGTTTTTATGTCGACTTTTATAAACTGTAACACAATTTTCATTGTCTTCAAACTATAAATATTAGAATTAATCTTTATTTAACATCTGTGTTAAGTGTTTCGTGCTGTTTCCTTACCATGTTATCACTTCGAGTTGTCATTGATTTAAGTGTTTGTTATATTCTTTATTCTACGCGTGGGAGGTAGCAAGAGTGATAAGATAAAATAATATCATGGTTTCCGAGATAAGCTTGTTTAATTGGTTTTGTTTATTAAGGTGGAGGAGTTAGAGGCCTTCTTTGCAGTATAAACAAGGAAATGCCGGCTCAGTAGAATTCAACACAGCCTGAGGTTATTTGACCTCTCGTCAGGGCTATGAAGGTCTCGAAGTCGTTAGGTTTCAAATTAATTACTATTGTCTAATGTACTCTGTATATTGATGTTCTAAAGGTGTATGTATGTATTGTTTATATTTGTAGTATAGGAAATTGATTTAGGTTGGTGCTTTGCTTCCTCACTATTCGTGCGAGAGGTTAAAAAAAAATATGTGCTTAGAATCGAAAATTTCCACTCGCGTTTTACGTTTCAGGCATCAAAGATCAAATTTAGTTCTCTGTCTGTTGTCATAGCGACGTGACGGGCATATCACCTAGGTACCGTTCTTCGGATTTTCTTGAAATTTTCAGGAATTGTGCTGGTTGTTGCCTAGGTAAGGCTATATTAATTTTGTCAAATTCCGTCTAGCACTTCCGCTTACGCACGCACAAACCTTTTTTTTTAGATATACCAATATTTCAGAAACAGCTTGTTCGAGTTGGCTCAAAGTTGGATAAAGGGTAGATAGATATTGAAGAAAACATAATGTAGTGTCAATTTTATTGAATTCTGTCCACTACTTTATCTTATATATGCGCAAATGTGTTTTCCTCAAAGTACTTTCAGTACTTGAACACCCTCAGTGATCAAACCAAGCCCTGAAGATGACCTGCATGTTTGGGTTGAAACGTTGGCATAAATAAAAAATTTAAAAAAATTGCGTCCTGAATTTTTATCACCCATGATATGTAGAACAGTCGATTAACTTCCTTCAAGTATTCTTAAAAATGTTTTGTAACAATTACCAACGATCTTTATTTACCCTCTTAACTAATTTAATTTTTTTGATTTGTGTTACGTCTACGTGTTATCCTCCACGATTTTTTAAAATCAAAATTGACATTAAAATGTGTTGAACTGCGTAACGATAAGCATGTCAAGGTGGACACTCCAATTATATCGTGGAAAGTTTTGATTGATGTCGACAATTTATGGCAACTTGGATTTAATTATAAAGTGCGTGTTCAAAGAATGTTCATTCTAATAGCTGAGGTTATCCTACCATATACAATAAATTGTATATACTCTACTATATATACTACTATATATACTCTTACTACTGTAGAAGAGGAACAAATATTTCTCCTGTCAATCGATAATTTTGACTCGAGTTGTTTGTTCTAGATTTCAAGCAACATTTTTTTTTTTATTTGTGGGAGGGAGATAATTGATTCGGGTATTTCTGTTTCAAAATTTAAGGTTGTAGCATTTCTCCTGTGAAGTTTTTTGGTGGATGATGGTTTCTCATTGGTGAAAAGATAAACGAACCCATTTCAACAGCAACCGATTAAAAATAAAATATTTTTATAAGAAAAATCCACCGCAAATTCTTAACGGTAACTGTTGGTTACATACATCAGAGTTGGGACCATTTTAATTCATCTTCTTTTGTAATATAGCGTTTAATCTGATCATTCTAACGTCAGTTTTATGTTGTCACAAGAAACCTTCGGGTTTTCCTAAGAGTTGTTTATTTTAAAGTTATCTTTTTCACTTTTAGTAAAGTAACATCATTATTGTGTATGTAATGTTCAAGCATGTATTTATTCAACGGATTTTAAATAAAAAATACTTTTATTAAAAGAAAGGAAATTTACATTGTTTTTTTTAAAATATATTAATACATAAAAATACAGTAGGTACCTATTTCTAATTCAAGATCTGATTTTTTATTCTTTTAAATATTTTTTGAGAGAACGTATTCTTTGAAACTGGAAATTGTTGAAACTTAAGCATAATTTAATATTTTATTCTCATTCTATTGAGCATTTTTTTAAATTTTACATTTTTTATTGCCTATGTGTATCTGTATATTGTTTTGTATGGCATTATTATTTTCACTTACCTATATATGTATTATACAGTAAGGGTAAGTATTGCGATCGTGAAAATTTTCAAATCTGAGTTTTCAACGGAAATACACGTTTTGAGGTCCTCTGAGTCCAAATAAACCGAGTCCCACAAAATGGTCTGTGTGTATATGTGTTATGTGTGTGTGTGTGTGTGTGTGTGTGTGTATGTGAACAAATAAGTTAAAAAACGAAAAGTAGTACGGAACTGAAATTAAGGATTTAAGGCTTGTATATGGGTAAAATGTTACAGCAACGTTTTCGTCAAAATCGGTAAACCGAAAGTGGTATTTAATATCATCGATATGACACATTTTTACGATTTTCTCAAAAACTGCTGTAACGATTTTGATGAAACTCACCAAGTCAATGTATTATTAAGTGATCTTTAATTTAAGATAGGTTTTATCTTCACCGATGCAACCTGACGGAGCTTAAATACTTATTTTCAATTTTTTTATCTCTAAAGTATTTATAATTACTATTTTTTTTTTTAGATAATTAACCATTTCACATTTGAACCTTCTCTAAAAAATGGCTAACTATCGTGAATAAAAAAAAAATTATTGGTAACTAAAGGGGAAATACGAGTAGGATTTAAGAGTACGATGTAAGCTATGTAGGAAGCTCGGCTGTTTAGCCGAAAGCGTCCGACCTTTGCCGATTCCCCTCTCTACAGGGCTATCATATTGTTAGTTTAACTTTTATGTATCTCTTATCCATAATTTTTAAAAAGGTTTTCACACGAAATGTTGAGGATTTACTTATACAGGCATAATAATATGCAATATTTACTAACGGTAAGTTATTGTTTGTGACAAGTTTCTTCATGAGTTTTCCGATAAAACTCAAATTTTTTCCAAAAGATCCATTTTCCCCACACCCATTAATATTGTTTGGTTACTATACACAGTCGTAAAACGAAATGGAAATGTATTAATTCAACTGAAAACATGGTAATTAATTGTTTTAAATGAAGTTATACCATGTTATCTTGTTCACTTCGACTTCCTATAAGAAAATCTACTCTAAGGTTGGTAAGTGAAGGCTGTGTGATGCGATTTTTATTTAATTGAAAATGCTTGTTGCCTTATATTATTAATATAAAATACAATTAAACAAAGATTTCAAGCATAAATAAATAGACAGATAAAAAAAGAAATTAAAAAAACTGTAACACTACAACCCTTGAAGGGTCTTGGGTTCACTACTATTTAGTGAAAATACAGTTAAATAGGCAAATATCAAATTAGATATAATGTTTTTAATTTTCATTATAATTATAATTATTCATTATAATTATATAATCATAATAATATAATTATATATAATATAATTATATATATAATATAATTATATAATCATCAATTATATATAGTATAATTATATAATCATTATAATATAATTATAATATTCATTATAATTATTCTCTTTATTTTTAAAATTAAATTA